GGGGCATTAAGTTTTACCCTTGTCTGTCTGTACATCCGTCCCAAAGTTGGTTTCCTATCTCTAACTTTAGTTTGCCTCAACCAAATGGTATGAAACTTATACACAATGCTAATTACCACAAAATACAGATCAAGTTTGAATTTTGGTGGTGTCACTTTAACCGTTCTAGAGTTATGCCCCTTTACAAAGGGAAAAATTGCTGAATTTTTTGTTTCCGTTCTCTAACTTTAGTTTGCCTCAACCAAATGCTATGAAACTTATACACAATGCCTATTACCACAAAATACAGATCAAGTTTGAATTATGGTGGTGTCACTTTAACCGTCTTGTTTAATATGAGTAGGTTGAGTTCTTTCAGTAAAATCAGCATTCTTTGAAATGACATAGTTTACTAATGTTTTGTTAGTAATTTTGTTTTTTTGTAATTTATTTTACTGTCATTATAAGATAAGTAGTTTTCCAGTACAGATTTCTTATTGTACTTTAATGTTTTTTATGTACCCTTCGTTTTAGTGTTCATGATTAAAAATGGGGTCTGAGATTCCCACATCTATTTTTAAGCAGTTAAGCTGCTTTATGCGAGCACCCTAGATTTGTGTTCTACCCAATAAATGCTGAAATATGTGCCATTGTTATTATCTGGCTGGCTATTATGTTATTTATAACTAATTGAACACTTTTTTCATACTTTTAATTCTGGAATACAAAAAATATGACCAGAAAAACCTTAAATGATCGTCGAACCACCCAAAAGTTTTGAAGTTGCACATAGGAAGTAGTGCTCAATAGAAATCCTTATGTAGTTTATTCTCCCCTGTGCTTTTGGCCAAGATGTCAAAGAACAATTGCATGAATTATTTCATCGCCGAAAATCTCTAATTACAAGTCGTTTACAGTTGCCAAATGGCACAAAGCGCAGGAATATTGTATAACGGCTGTGACTAATATGACACGGAGTTGAAGTCTCAGTTGGCGGTAATTTTAACTTCATCGACAAAACGTAAATCAAGGACGTTTTAAATTTGGTGATTTCTGATAATAATCATTTTGTTCAACCGCTAGCTTTATACCGAAAATCGCCAACATGTTATGTGTAAATCCGAGTAAATCGTATCTGACTGACAAAACAACATTGAAAAACAATGGATGCCATAAACCGGAAATGAAGACAATTATAATACCGGATCTAATTCCGGGGGCGGATAAGGGTAATTCCGGGTTTGCCGATCAAATACAATAAAAATATAATAATTCCAGGCATGAGACAAAATACATCTATCATGATGAAATATAAACTCTAGAATTGAAAACCAAAGATATATTGAAAAGAAAGAAAAAGCAGGAAATATTTTATACAGAAACTCAAAATTACTTTTAGTTCACAAATTTTCATGTCAAAAACCAATAAAATGTGACAGTATTTTCCTTATCATTAATAAATATTGATATTACATGTAGATGTTTTTATTGTTTTAACATATTACTACAATTCCATGAGGTAATTTCTTCTCAATTTTGAAGGGCCTATACAAATCTGGAAGTTTCTTACTTTATTTTCACAGAGGAACTAGCTAATATAATATATAGTGCAACTAGATATGATACACTTAAACAGTTTTGAATTTGAACTGTTTAATATAATGGTATAATTAGTAATAAATAATCAATTGTTGAGACAACACACCCACCCACAGTGATACCATCAGCCTCCCTCAGCCTTCCTAATACAAAAAAAAAGATTATTTGAATTCATAAATTAATATACAAGACAATTACATTTATTATTAAACATGTTAAACGACAGTGACACTGACAATGAAACAAGCTAACTTAACACCAAAAGCACATTAAATTATCTTACTGAGTTATGAACTATTTCAAGTAAAAGCAGGACCTGGAATTTAGGTTGTGGACCTTTCAGTTTGGAGTGTCAAAGGTCCTGGACTGTCCAGTACCAAATGTTAATTTTAACCCCTGCATTCACAGTAAAGCGATTTTGACGTGTATTGCAATTCCAAGTAGAATTTACTTTTGGACATTAAACGTTTCGAATGCGTATTAAACTAATTCAAATCAGTTAATAATGTGAATCGAATTCGAATTATGTGCGAGCGCAGCATTGATATATCTAAGAAATGAAGAATATTAAAAAGATGGACAAAATATTTGTATTAAATTTGTTGCAATTTTTGTCTTGCCTTGACAGAGTCAAAAAGTGAGACATATATATATATATAGGCATGCTGTTTTGGCGGAATCAACAATGTATTAGTTTGTGATTTTGTGATAAGGTCTGGTTTCTGGTAGGTCAATGACATTTTGTAAGTAGTTGTGTTAGCATAGGCACATCTCATTACCATAGAGAATATTTGGCCCCACCCCCTTAGTCATGGTCTATTGACTTTGAAACTTTGCATAGTTTACATGTATATGTTTGTGATTAGGTCAGTTTAGGGGGAACCACTAGTGGTAGGTCAATGATATTTGGTGTGCAGTTGTATAAACTTTTTCATTTTTAATTTCCATTGAGATTATTTGGCCCCGCCCCCTCAATCATGCTCTTTTTACTTGGAAACTTATGTTACTTTGAAATTTCATTTATTAGTTTTCGATTAGGTTAGTATTAGGGAAACCAATAGTGGTAGGTCAATGATAATTGGCATGTAGGTGTAGAAGCATTAGTACGTCTCATTTCCATAGAGGATATTTGGTCCTCACCCCTCAGTCATATGCATGATCTATTGACTTTGAAACTTTTACTTAGTTTACATGAATGAGTTTGTGATTATTATGATTATGTCAGTTTAAAATTACCAGTAATCTTAAGTCAAAGCTATTTGGTATGCGAACGTATTGGTATTCAAAAGTTTCATTTCCATGGATATTATATAACCCCACCCCCTCATTATGGTTCATTGACTTAGAAATTGAATTTGTGTTAAGGTTTGTTTTAAGGGAACGACTTATGAAAAGTCAATGGTATTTGGTTTGCAGTTGAACAAGCATTGGCACCTTTCATTTCCATAGAGATTGTTTAGCCTTGTACCTTCAGTCATGGTTCATTGACTTTGAATATCACTTACATGTTAAAGTATTACTATTTTAAGTGTAACATTTGCATTATCAAAATAACAAATAGGCAAAACATTACGTTGTGTTAATAGCTTATTATAGATTAGACATGTGTAATTATTATAAAAATAAGGAGATGTGGTATGATTGCCAATGAGACAACTATCCACCAAAATTCAAATGAAGTGGATGTAAGCAATTACAGGCAACCGTACAGCCTTCAAAAATATATGTTGCATCATTGCTAGGCCATTATAACAACATCAGCATTTCTTGTAATACTAGTATACAAGAAAATTACACCATTTCAGATAGTTTCAGGTATGATTTGATAATTGTGCATAGTGGCACCAGCTGATCCAACTAAAAGCGCTAATATGGCATATTCAAACTCTAGTACATAGTGGAATTAAACCATGCATACACCACTGTTGGACACCATAATTGAAATTATTATTCTGAAAAGAATATTCCTCCATGCAGCCTGCAACAATTAGCAAAACCTATACTGCATAGTAAGATATAAACGACCACGAAATGACAAATGTAAAACAATAAAACTAAAGCAGCCTGATTTATGTACAAAACAATTATGAAAAATAAATATGATATACAGCAACAATCAACAATCACCAAATTACTGGGTCCTCACTATGGACAGGTACATACAGAATGTGGCGGGTTAAACATGTTAGCTGGCACAAAACTCTCCCCTAACATGGGACAGTGTATGTGCATAATCTCAGACATTAAATCTTTAAAAAATAAATTGGAAATAACTTTTGAAAGTGGTAGGATTGGATAGCAGAAACATTACGGTACAAACATTATTTGATACTTGAGAAATAGCTGAGATATATAGATTCTACCACTGCATTGAGTGTGATACGATATTTATCCACTCGAGACAGTTAAATTTTCAAATTTAAAACGCGAGGCTCGCCGAGCGTTTTAAATATTTAAAATTTAACTGTCGAGAGTGGATAAATATCGTATTACACGAGATTTGGTGGTGGAATCTGTTTCTCTTATGATTTTCAAACAATATGCAGGCAAACTTATTCCGTCTTTTCGAATGATCTGTAAAAAGATGTGTTCTTTCTATGTGACGTCATCAGGCATGGTCGCCTTTTTTCATGCCGTCACAATAGGAAATTCAGAGGAAAGCAAGTAAATTCGACGTCATAATCGGATTTTAACCAATGAAGAACTGAGATCAAATGAACCACACGTTGATTAAATTTTTTTTATACAATGGGTGCAGAATGGGATAAATTGACGAAGAATTAGAGAAAAATATTTTCATCCATTCTTCCACTATATTCATCTTAACTTCTGCCAAGTTTACCTTTGATTTTTTTAATTAACTGCCTATAGCGCCTTTGGTGCTTTGATTATTCATATTTAGCAGACTAATTACTGTGCCTATTTGATAGGCTTTGTACTCACAAATTGACCAAAATGTTTTTCAAAGTTGCTGTTTGAAATCATCTCCAAACTAATGACTGTATATTATATGTTATAATCATAAAGTATCAAAATTACTGATATTGACTAACTGTTCATACCTACCAACCTTTAAAGAAATTAAAAGTCAAACACAGGAATGGGATGGTAAGAATAACTGCTATAACACTTCACATGCTTCATATTTACAACCTTTCACTACAAATGAGCTAAAACTTTTCAGACGTTGATAAGTGTCAAGAGATGTTTTGAACTGTAAATTGAAAAAAACTTTTGGCCAATTGTTCAATGTAATGGTATTCAAAACTTGTCTAAAAATGGTCAAATAAGAGCTTAACATAATTATGGTAAACCAGTAGACACTTTTTCTATTGTTGAAGGTGCTACTGTGTTGACCCCTAGATTTCTTTTGAATTTTTGTTTTGTTGGGTTGTTGTCTCATTGGCCATGTTAACATACACTTTTTTCATATAAAATGTTTAATCAAATTTATTTGTTATTATGCTTTAATACATACAAAAATGATAATGCTTTTAAATTGTCATGAAAAAGTTTGATTTAGTTTCATGATGACTTCAATGTTCCAATATCTTGTGAAGGCTTCAGTGCTGGTATAACATATCCCACTAAATCTCGGAATAAATGCCAACCTAGGATCACAATAAATACAACCCATCTTGCAACTGTTCTTATAAATCCACTTGCCTGGAATGAAAAAAATCTTTTTGAGCATGAAAGTAGTTGGAAGGGATTACCTGTATATAACTATTCAGAAAAATGAAGAAAAAAAACCTTTGTAATTGTGTACGGGGTTAATGTTTGGTAACACTAGTACTGCATGATCAAGTAGTACCAGAGACCTATATATGGTATTTATCTGGTAGTACTCATAAGCTCACCTGAACCAAAGGGTTCATGTGAGCTATGGCCATCACTAATCCCGTTATTGGCACACACTTTTTCAAATTTTCTCCTCTGAAACCACTGAATAGATATGAACCAAACCTTGTGTGATGTTCCTTGGTATGTTTAGTTAATAACTTATGTATGATATTTGGATTTGTCAACAAACATGACCATGGTTGCTAAAAATATAACACTGAGGTAAAACTGCAGTTTTTATACGACCGCCAAAAAATTTTGCGGTCGTATATTGGTATGACGTTGGTGTCGTCGTCTGAAGACACATTGGTTTTCGCACTCTAACTTTAGTTTAAGTGAATGGATCTCTATAAAATTTTACCTTAAGGTTCAATACCACAAAAGGAAGGTTGGGATTGATTTTGGGGGTTATGGTACCAACAGTTAAGGAATTAGGGGCCAAAAGGGGGCCAAAAATACGCATTTTTGTAACTTCCAGACATAACTTGTGTGTTAGTGTATGGATCTCTCTGACATTGTACCACAAGGTTCCATATCACAAAGGGAATGCTGGTATTGATTTTGGGGGTAATTGCCTCAAAAGTTAAGGAATTAGGGGCCAAAAAATGGGCAAAAAACAAGCATTTTTCTAGTTTCATGACAATAACTTGTGTGTAAGTGTATGGATCTTTCTGAAATTGTACTACAAGGTTCCATATCACAAAGGGAAAGCTGGAATTGAGATTGGGGGTAATTGCCCAAAACGTTTAGGAATAAGGGGCCAAAAATAAGCATTTTTCTAGTTTCCAGACAATAACTTGTGTTCAAGTGTATGGATCTCTCTGAAATTGTACTGCAAGGTACCATACCACAAAGGGAAGTCTGGGATTGATTTTGGGGGTAATTGCCTAAAAATTTTAGGAAATAGGGGCCAAAATGGGGCAAAAAACAAGCATTTTTCTAGTTTCAGGACAATAACTTGTGTGTAAGTGTATGGATCTTTATAAAATTGTACTACAAGGTTCCATATCACAAAGGGAAAGCTGGGTTTGAGTTTGGGGGTAATTGCCCTAAACGTTTAGGAATTTGGGGCCAAAAAGGGGCCAAAAAACAAGCATTTTCTAGTTTCAAGACAATAACTTGTGTTCAAGTGTATGGATCTCTCTGAAATTGTACTGCAAGGTACCATACCACAAAGGGAAGGCTGGGATTGAGTTTGGGGGTGATAAATCATAAGGGGGTTCAAAAATTTGGGGGAGAGATTTTTTTTTCCTTTTTTTCCTTTTTTTTTTCTTTAAAATTTTCCGTTTTAAATTGGTTATTTCTGATTTATATATAAAAGCAAATAATAATGATATGGTTTGAATAGGTAAATTAAAAAATTTTAAGTTCTTAGACCACATTCATTCTTTGTCAGAAACCTATGCTGTGTCAAAGATTTACTCAGAATCCTAATTCAGTGCTGTATCAAGCTTGAATGTTGTGTCCATACTTGCCCCAACTGTTCAGGGTTCGACCTCTGCGGTCGTATCAAGCTGCGCCCAGCGGAGCATTTTATTGGATTATATCTCAAATATTGATACAGACAACTCATTTTGGAGTAATTGCAAAAATTATCAGTTGACTCCTTATAGAAGTTATTGCCTTTCAACCATGATTTTTACCAATTTTTTTAGTTCTTAGCTTTAATCTTTAAAAATCATTAGAAACGGTTCCCTACAAAAATTATCAACAAGGTAAGATATACTAATAAGTTGTCATACAGTTAACATGATTAATTTGCTGGGTTGTTAAAAAATTATTCATGATTAAAATGTCATAACTTTACGTGTGGATTAAATATGTGCATCAACAATAAGTTCCACTTTAATTGCTTTCTACAAACCATTAGGGCATGTGAAAAATTTGGGGATTTCGCCTGATCATGAAATAAGTGAAGATTTCCAGGTTTGCAGCAACTGCAGTGGTCAATTAACTCCTTATAGGAGTGTTTGCCCGAAAATGACAATATTTACCTTCTTTTTTTGTTGTGTTTTTGGCTAGAATCTTGAAAACTACATTAAGAGAAACTTATAAACACCAAAATTGACCAGCAATATAAGATCCACAAAACAGGTAGTTACTAGTATAATCCGGCTAATTTTCGAATGTTACATGGAGATAGCTTTAATTTATAAAAAGATTGCGATAAATCTGTTTTTGATCTTTACTACTAGAAAATAATCGACTAAGCCAAAATCAAAACCCCAGCAAAAACGGCAATGAATTCAGGTCATTTCGTAGGAGTAGAAAGTTCCTGTTGCACTAGTGGTGCCCTGCTTCGTAATGATAACTATAACAGTAGTTTCCTGGATAATGTCACGAAAAGTTCATATCCGGTGATAAGACGCATTCGGTTGTGGTCATAAAGGAGGAAAAACGGGGTTGTAGCTACGACAAATGCAAACTATTGTTAACTTAGACATAAGCAATGGATGTTATAGACTTGTCTGCTCATGTGACCTTGCCAGAGACTGACGGACGCCCTTGGACTGGTTATATTTAATGTAAATCAAATCTAATCTCTGATACAACTTAAATGAAGAACAAAACAAATCGACTGAACTGACGGTGCTATATATATATACAAGTCTAAATATAATTACAGATCCATCCATCCTATGAATGGATCTGTCGTAGAGTTGTCACTTGTTTAGACGTACAAGTCTAAATATATATATATATATATATATATATATATATATATATATATATATATATATATAATCGTAAAATGCATGCATATTAAAACAAGATGGTCAAAGTATCAAATAATATTGCAGTTTTCTTAACCGTATAATAATTGAATTTACGTGATCAGTGAATGCGTTGACTTTAGTAAACACCGCATTCAATCTGACCGAGATTTACACCATTTTTTTTCGAAATAAGAAAAAATAGACAATTGTGATAATGTTGCTAAAAATTACACAATATTTTCAGAACAGCAATATGTCGTGACTCTGGAGAGCTGTGATGGGGATGACCATTTCAAGAATCAATAGTATATTCAGTAAAATCAGAGACATATATGTATATATATATGTCTCTGGTAAAATGGACAAAAGTACATCAAAATGTGTCCGACACATTTGTTGACGAAACACAAAAATAGATAAGTTACATGTAGTTGTCTATTAATGTATTCTGCTATATTTTGACTTACCATTGCTTATATGTTCTGTTCAGAGATTCTTCAAATGCGTTCGAATGGATACAATTATCAACAAATGTACAACAAATATATTAAAAATCGAAATTCCAATATATTTCAAACTACGACGTAAATCATTGACAAAATGTAAATGATAAAGATAATACACGCACTGTCACCTTCAATTCTTATAACATAAGTAATACAGGTATATCTTCTTATAATGGTTCAAGGTTATTTTTTATCAATTAATATTTGTACAATTGGTATTACATGCACTCTGACAAACCGGTTGGGTTCACGTGTTGAACAGTTCGTTTACACATGTATTGATAAACATTTTATCTCGTCCAATGGCCTTTGCTTTAAAAGTAACTTTAAACAAAAACAAAAAATATTCAGGGTTAAAGTCCAGGAGTTTCCTACAGTAAAACGTGAATGTCATCTGTAAAGTTTATAGTCCACATATATGTTGTTAAAAACAAGGCGCATAATCCCAAATGATTCATTGTGACGGGTATCATGGACGATAACAAGTTCTCGTTAGTCACAACGTCAAATTATTTAAAGGATAGTTTCATGAGAGGCTTTTCGTAGAAAATTTCGTGTGCCAAGTCAGGAATATTATTATTTCCTCCCATCTACTCCCTTTTAAGATGCAATTATTTTTAAATTGAATTTGGTGACTTTTACTTTAAATTCCATTGTATAGTCCGGCTATAAAATCTCAAAGTTGGAATACCGATACTTGAACTAATTAGCACGGCCCGGACAGTACCATACCCAAGAAAATAAAGCAATAATGTATTAATTTGGCCAACAAAACAATGTTTAGGGCTGATTACTTATAAAATGTCATTACGATAGAAGTGTATATTATCCTTTGAAAACCAGGCCGTTCCTTATATTTACTTTTGCGCCAATTGCTATTTCACGATGTATCATTTGCGCCAAATATATTATTTTTCAAAGGAATTTCGGAATTCGTTTGCGCCAATTTACCTGTACGAATATTTAAATATTTACCGCATATATGATAATCATTTATAAATTATGGTATGTGTTGTACGGTGTTGAACCGCGCTGAAGTACGTCCATTATGCATTTTTCCGTATTCAAAATTCAATAATGAATAATGAAAAGTTCGTTATTCACTATTCAGCGTTTAATAATGAATAATGAAATAGTTTATATTTCAGTATTCAAGTTGAAAAGTGAATAATGAAATAGATCATTTATTTCTTGACAGTGACACTATATCCCGTATTTCTGAATTCGTCATTTTGATGGCAATTAACATGTATTCAAATTAAAAGTCTTTGAAATTTTTATCTTTATTTATTTATTTATTTAGTTTCGGAGGATAAACTAGTGGGTTTCCCTAACTATTTTTAACAGAAATTCCTTTTTTTTAATGTATCGACGACCTGAATACCAAATCATATATAAAATCAAAATACTATACATTGAAATCTTTTATTTTTAAAGGACCTTTGCAATCCTTCATCCCCTGATTATAGATATAACTTGTCGATTGTGTCGCAATGCCGATTAGAGGGGTTACGGAGGACCTAAATGCCAAAATACGCGTCACGGAACATTTTTAAGAAATAGCCAATTTTGAATAATGGAATAGACTGCTGCGACCCTTCAGCCCTTAATTACAGAGATGCCGTATACGTCATTCAAAAGCTTATCGAATGAGGAACAAAAGGTACATAATCAATGTGTGCTGCAATGCCCATTAGAGTGGTTACGGAGGACCTAAATGCCAAAATACACGTGAACATTAAGAAATAGCCTTTTTTGAATAATGGAATGGGTATTTTGAATAATGGAATGGACTGCTGCGACCCTTCAACCCCTAATTACAGAGATACTTTATACGTCATTAGAAAGCTTATCAATAGAGGAACAAAAGGTATATAATCAATGTGTGCCGCAATGCCGATTAGAGGGGTTACGGAGGACCTAAATGCCAAAATACGCGTCACGGAACATTTTTAAGAAATAGCCAATTTTGAATAATGGAATAGACTGCTGCGACCCTTCAGCCCTTAATTACAGAGATGCCGTATACGTCATTGGAAAACTTATCAATAGAGGAACAAAAGGTATATAATCAATGTGTGCCGCAATGCCCATTAGAGGGGTTACGGAGGACCCAAATGCCAAAATACGCGTAAACATTAAGAAATAGCCAATTTGAATAATGGAATGGACTGCTGCGACCCTTCAGCCCCTAATTACAGAGATGCCTTATTTGTCATTCGAAAGCTTATCGATAAGCTTTCGAATGACGTATAAGGCATCTCTGTCATTTACGTCAATTTCAAAAGCTGTTTTAAATTTATTTTCTTTATATTAATTTGAATATATGTTAATTGACATCAGAAATACGGGATATAGTGTCACAGTAAAAAATAAATGATCTATTTCATTATTCACTTTTCAACTTGAATACTGAAATATAAACTATTTCATTATTCATTACTAAACGTTGAATAGTGAATAATGAACAATTTCATATATAAAATATTCAATATAAATACCAATAAAAACAATATTCAAAGATCTAATTACAGTGTAGAATTGGTAACCTTTTCGAATAAGTTTGCAATGATGCACTGCATAAACACTACAGGGAACTGATATACTCACCGCATCCATCTTTGCGTCTATGTTTTGCCAATATCATAACTAGAGGCTCTCAAGAGCCTGTGTCGCTCACCTGTATTTATTGATGCTGTGGAAATCACGTAAAATAAGGTTAAAATCATAATTAATAGTATAAGATATTAGATATTATAATGATATCTAAGATAATAACAAAAAACTGCAAAATTTTTGTAAAATTACTAACTCAGGGGCAGCAACCCAACAACGGATTGTCGGATTCGTCTGAAAATTTCAGGGCAGATAAATCTAAATCTGATGAACATTTTTGCCACCTGTCAGATTTGCTCTAAATGCTTTAGTTTCAGAGATATAAACCAAAAACTGCATTTTACCCCTATGTTCTATTTTTAACAAAGTCGGCCATTGGAAAGCGGGGTCATCGGACAATTTTTTTAAACTAGACACCCTAATAATGATTATGGCCAAGTATGGTTAAATTTGTCTCAGTAGTTTCAGAGAAGATTTTTGTAAAAGATTACAAAAATTTACAAAAAATTGTTAAAAATTGACTATTAAGGGCAATAACTCTTAAAGGGGTCGACTGACAATTTTGGTCATGCAACTTATTTGTAGATCTTACTTGGCTGAACATTATTGCTGTTTACAGTTTATCTCTATCTATAATAATATTCAAGATAATTACCAATAAAATGCTCCGCAGGGCGCAGCTTGATACGACCGCAGAGGTCGAACCCTGAACAGTTGGGGCAAGTATGGACACAACATTCAAGCTTGATACAGCTTTGCATTTGGATTGTGATTAAATATTTGACACAGCATAGGTTTCTGACACAGAATGAATGTGGTCTAAGAACTTAAAAATTTTAAATTGGACATTCACCTATTATGGTCCAATATTCAAAATCTAAATACATGGTTAGATTCAGCATATCAAAGAACCCCAAGAATTCAATTTTTGATGAAATCAAACAAAGTTTAATTTTGGACCCTTTTGACCTCAATGTGGACAAAGTTGATAACGGGGCCCAAAAATCAAAAATCTAAATACATGGTTAGATTCAGCATATCAAAGAACCCCATATATTTAATTTTTGTTGAAATCAAACATAGTTTAATTTTGGACCCCGATTTGGACCAACTTGAAAACTGGGCCCATAATCAAAAATCTAAATACATGTTTAGATTCAGCATATTAAAGAACCCTAAGAATTCAATTTTTGTTAAAATCAAACTAAGTTTAATTTTGGACCCTTTGGACCTTAATGTAGACCAATTTGAAAACGGAACCAAAAATTAAGAATCTAAATACACGGTTAGATTCGGCATATCAAAGAACCCCAATAATTTAATTTTTGATGAAATCAAACAAAGTTTAATTTTTGACCCTTTGGACCTCAATGTGGACCAATTTTAAAACGGGGCCCAAAATCCAAAAACTTAATACACGGTATGATTCAGCATATTAAAAAACCCCAAGAATTCAAGAATAAAACCCCATTGAAATTGGTCAAGAAATAAGCAATTTATACGAAGTATCTTCTTTTGCACAATACTGTGCAATTAAATATTTCTTGCTATTGCGCAATACTGTACAATTGACAATTTCTTGCTATTGCGCAATATTGTGCTATTGGATATTTCTTGCTATTGCGCAATACTGTGCAATTGAAGATTTCTTGCTATTGCGCAATACTGTGCAATTGAAGATTTCTTGCTATTGTGCAATACTGTGCAATTGAAAATTTCTTGCTATTGCACAATACTTATTATGTAATAATTTACACATCCTGTTTGGTGTGTATCTCCTACCATATCATTATTATTTGCTTTTAAATATAAATCAGAAATAACCAACTTAAAATGGTAAAATTTTAAAAGAAAAAAAAAGGAAAAAAAGAAAAAAAAGGAAACCCCCCCCCCCAAATTTTTTGAACCCCCTTATGATTCATCACCCCCAAACTCAATCCCAGCCTTCCCTTTGTGGTATGGTACCTTTCAGAGAGATCCATACACTTGAACACAAGTTATTGTCTGGAAACTAGAAAAATGTGTTTTTTGGCCCCTTTTTGGCCCCAAATTCCTAAATGTTTCGGACAATTACCCCCAAACTCAAACCCAGCTTTCCCTTTGTGATATGGAACCTTGAAGTACAATTTCAGAAAGATCCATACACTTACACACAAGTTATTGTCCTGAAACTAGAAAAATGCTTGTTTTTTGCCCCTTTTTGGCCCCTAATTCCTAAAATATTGAGGCAATTACCCCCATCATCAATCCCAGCCTTCCCTTTGTGGTATGGTACCTTGCAGTACAATTTCAGAGAGATCCATACACTTGAACACAAGTTATTGTCTAGAAACTAGAAAAATGTGTTTTTTGGCCCCTTTTTGGCCCCCAATTCCTAAACGTTTAGGACAATTACCCCCAAACTCATACCCAGCTTTCCCTTTGTGATATGGAACCTTGTATAACAATTTCAGAAAGATCCATACACTTACACACAAGTTATTGTCATGAAACTAGAAAAATGCTTGTTTTTTGCCCCTTTTTTGGCCCCTAATTCCTAAAATTTTGAGGCAATTACCCCCAAAATCAATACTAGCATTCCTTTTGTGATATGGAACCTTGTGATACAATGTCAGAGAGATCCATACACTTACACACAAGTTATGTCTGGAAGTTACAAAAATGCTAATTTTTGGCCCCTTTTTGGCCCCTAATTCCTTTACTGTTGGTACCATAACCCCCAAAATCAATCCCAACCTTCCTTTTGTGGTATTGAACCTTGTGGTAAAATTTCATAGAGATCCATTCACTTAAACTAAAGTTAGAGTGCGAAAACCAATGTGTC